TGTAAACAAACAAGTGTTTTAAAATGGAAGATACCATACCTTGGAAAGGATCAGATCACCCAGCCATCGCACACAGTCTACATAATTCCTATGTATGTCTCTTGTAGAGAAGTCAGGAAAATGAATCTTTTGAGAAACAAATGGCCTGCAGACAAAGAAGAGAGACATGCAAAAAACAGGAGGAATGAGGGTGAGTGGCCATCAAAACGGATAGTGGGTTAAAAAAAAACATGTAATTCCTGACAATTTGCACCTCAAACCCAGTGAATTCTCCCCCCACAACAACCACCCTGTAAGAGAGGTTGGGCTGAGAGACAGTGATTGGCCCAGATCCAGCCAATGTACTTCTGTGGCTGTCCAGGGATGAGAACCTGAGTCTCTCTGCTCCTAATCCAGCCCCTTAACCATTATACCACACTGACCCTCAGTTTTGAGATTAACCCATTTCTAAATCCATGCACTTACCAGTTTTAGATTGGAGGACACATGATTGCATGAGAAGACTATGAACTGAGAAATATAATGCTCGGATCAGGACTGTTCTTACCTATTAGTTTTATTGGGATTGTACTCGTAGGATTCCTTGATGGCGTTTATCATTCTCTTTGAATTGATTCGCCAGAGCTTTAGAGAGTGATCCATGCCACAAGACATTATCTTCTCACCAAGCAGGTCATAATCCTATATGCAAAAAGCACAAAGTCGTAGTTTTTAAGTTTTGTACCCAACATTCAGATAAAAGCAAGACAACAGCCCAGAAAACACTGAAATCTCCATATAAACCTTATTGTGAAGTGTTCACACGTATTTAAATTTTCTAAAGTTTATCTTTCCTCCTTGCTTCAGTACAAAAATCAATTACAAAATGGTTCCCAAATAGTTTCTCAAACCATATATTAGTATTGGACTTACTGCACTTAAAACTTCATCTCTGTGTCCTTCAACTCCTCCAAATATTGCAACCAAAGTATCTGTCTGAATGTTCCACAATCTGAGCGCATGATCTAGTAAAGTCCAATCAACCAGATTAGATTGTGTTATCCATATATATCTCACCATTAACATATTCCTCATTTATAAGTACACATTATAGCTAACTGTATCAAAGGTTAGTAAGTTACTGTCCAGAGGTGCCAGAGAGATATAAATGCTTAATTAAAAGAAATAGGCCAACATCTCACATGATTTCAAGCCTCTGTGCTGCCAAAGAGCTTCCATCTAATAAAGAGGCTCTTTTCAGACCTGTTTAATAACCATAGCTTGGTTCTAAAAAAAAGTTGGTATGAACCTTCAATGCAGCTACAAGAAAGTAGAAAGCATCTGCTATCTCATTTAAATAAAGCAAGTTTTTCAATAATTCCAAGTTCTATTTTGAAAAAGTATCCTTTGCTGTAACAACACAGGGTACAAAATCATGGTTTGATTCTATCTTATTTCACTAGCCTAGGGGAAAGCAACTGACAACTGTCTTGAAATGGCTGAATACATATCCCAGCATCCTTCTGCAGTGACCCTGCTTCCTTGGGAGCTGTAGCTGAGCAACAACTAGAGCAGACCCACACAACACACGGCCCGCCAGTGTTTATTAAAAAACAAGTGGGACATACCCATGTCATATGACCAAGAACTCCTGCAACCATTTCACACCTTCAGCATAATGAAGCTGGCAATCAAATCAATTTTTAAACACTGATGTGCCCAATAAACCTGAAATACAATCTTTCATTGGATTGAACTAATTTTAAAGTCATAAGAAACATAATATTCTTTAAAATCCTTAACCAATGTTTTGTTAAAACTGGATATTCCAACTGTTTTCTCAAGTTCTTGCCAATAATAAATCTCTCTCTCAACAGTACTCCTTAGTTGTTTATGGGTAGTATGCTTTTTCTAATATAGTCTATCCAGCACTAGCTTTTGGTTTTATAACCTTTATTGTGCTGCTTTATCAGTTTCAGAGCCATCCTTGTTCCCCTTTCTGCTGGCACAGAAACAGGCCACTAATATAGTACATTACTCATAAAAACATTAAAAGGAATTTATTCTCCTACCTTTGCTAACAGACAAAAGAAGATTTGGATCCCTCGGATGAAATTTCAATTCATTTATTGCATTTCCATGGCCCACATAGTGCTGCAATAACATTCAGAGATCAGTTTCTTGGTGGCAGCCCACAACACTGCCTTACCCCAAGCCAGAGTTCTAGTGCAACTAGTCCAGTAGTTAACCTTTAGGGGTTTAAGGGAGGATTATTTCCCAGATTTTCCCGGAGAGGCTGAATTTCAGCCTTCTGCATGCTAAGCTTGAGCTCTCTGGTCCCATTCTCACCCTATGCATTTTGTATTAAGAATCAGGGACAATTTCTGAACCTAATACTTACCTCTTGTATCAACTCACCTTTATGCACTGCATTGTAATGGGGTTGATTATTCGAATAATGCCTCGTGAGCCGGCCACTGCCAGAAGAGGGTGGCTTGTATTGCTATCATAAGTCCATGCACAAGTATAAAAGTTTTCATCTGCCTGAAGTATGCAGTTAAGTACAATACACACAACCGTGGAATTTCCACTAACAGCAATAGAAAAATGTTTGCACAACTTAAGACAGTCATTTGAGAAAAGTGGCAGCTTAAAAGTATGTTATTTTTAGTGAAAGCATAGTTTATTCCTTCAATCGTCTGCAGAAACTATTCTGCCATTTGGCATAATAATCAGATACAAGCCAAAGGATGATTAGGTTCAACATGTACAGCAGCCATTAAAATATTAACAGCCCATAGCTTTAGGGCAGCTTTCTCTAGCTCAGTTCTCTCCAGATGTTTTGGAGAACAATTCCCATAAATTCCCTGTATAGTTATTGGTTCACTATGAGGACACCAGATGGAGAAGGCTATTCCAGGGAGCTACAGTGGGGCAAAAAAGTATTTAGTCAGCCACCAATTGTGCAAGTTCTCCCAC